GTGTGTGTGTGTGTGTGTGTGTGTGTGTGTGTGTGTGTGTGTGTGTGTGGTTGGATGGATGGAGCATATTCCGAAGAAGAAGCAGTGATCGTTTTACTGGCACGTGTGGTGACTCATACGTGACTCATCACATGTAGGTGGGAGTGATCACAGCAATCCATCGTGTGTGTGTGTGTGTGTGTGTGTGTGTGTGTGTGTGTGTGTGTGTGTGTGTGTGTGTGTGTTTATCCTCCAGTCGTATCCAGGCAGAAAACAAGTCATGTGATTGTCTCTTCTAAATAACATCCTGCTTACGGGAAAAAGCGCTGATCTATGTAGGTTCATTTTATAGGAAGTAAGACATAAAGGCGGGAAAAAAACGACCCAAAGCTTTTCCTGATGGAAATTTACTGGAACTATTTTTCACCTGAAAACCCTCAGTAGAACTCGGTGCTTGACTTTACTGAGTCTTTGTTCAATACTTGTTCAATACTTAATTCAAGTCTGCATAATGAAGTCAGGTAAAAGTCAGAAGATTAGTAAAGTAAGCTAACTACACAGGGTTCTGTAGATAAAAACAGTCAGTATCTTACCTGAGATAGATAGATTGATAGATTGATAGATTGATTGATTTAAAATAAAAAATTACCACCACAGCTATAACAACTTTTCTTTCACAAGTCAGCCATATTGGATTTTGTGGTTGGAAAATATTGACTTTCTACTGTAGATGGTTTTGTTTGTTTGTTTGTTTTGGGGGTGGGCATGCACAGCAACGTTTTTGACCGTGTGAATCAAGAATTTGGTTTATGGAAACTGTCATAGTGAATTTTTGAAATCAGAGTCTGGGCACAAGACATGGTTACATGGTGGGACTTAAGGGCCCTGAACAGTTGGCACACATGGTGGTTCTTTTGTTTTTGCACACACCTTTTAAAGCTCTTGCCACGCCGAGCTCCTGGGAAACCCCTTCCACTACGGTACACATTAGTGATGTGCAGATCGGTACTGAAATTTCGATACTACCGATACCAGAACTTTGTGTTCTAGAATCGATACCAAAATCAAAATATCAATGCTTTGATACTTTAGTTATTTCACATAATGTATATCATTAACAGGAAAATAGTGGAAAAACTGAACTATTCAAATCATGTCTAAATCATATGTGGTTGGAGGGAACTTTTTCTTCCGCTTGAATAATACATAAGCACAGTGGCATGTGTTCAGTCAGTCACTCAGTCTGTGGATGTACGGCAGGTCATTTTAACATAAAATCTGCTTCATCTGACTCTGTATTTACATTGTAGATGAGGGGTTCCCAAACTTTTTCATGTCATGGCCCCCCAAACAGCATTAGCTCTGGCCAAGGGCCTTCTTGCAAACCCACAAACAATGCTACAAAATATACAGAGCAACAACTTTTAGAATATTTTCTCACTTTTATTCACTATTCAAAAAGTATTATATTTCTTTAGAATAAGAATTTAAAATTGTGCTAAACAAATGTAGTGTTAGGGTTAGAAATCTTTTAAATTAAATAAATTACCATGTCATGTATTATTTATAAAGCGGTTATTTGAAAAATGCTACTTTTTAAGATTTACCAGACACATTATGTGTGTTATCAAAATATCAGTATCGGATCAGTATCGCAATACCAGCCACATTTTACTTGGTATCAGTATCGGTAAGAACATTGGCAGTATCYAACATCACTAGTACACGTCACTACATGGGGTTTCTTCCTGCTGGAGTCTATTCTGGAAAATAGGAAACAACTCTGATATCCACCGTTATAACCACCACAATCTAAAGGGCCACAGATTTTGTCAGACAGATTCCTTTGTGCAAAAAGTCCACATTGACCTTGTTTTTATAAATGTCTGCTTCTGAGTAAAACAGTCAGATTTTGGAAGTGAGCATGTGAAGCAAAATGCAGTGTCCGAGTGCTTTCAACATAAACAAACACGCCCGCAAATGTCTGATCAATCACACAATATTTAAGATCTCCCAGCAGGTTGTAATTATTTAATTAATCAGTCAACAATTATTTGTATATTCCTTTCCAATAGCCACAAGGTACACAAAGTGCTTCACAAAACAAAGGTTATAACAAACAATAAAAAAATACAAAAATGCCAGAGAGCCACAAGGCATTAAACCGTATTTCATGTTGCAAGCTGAAAAACCAGTGAGAATTGTTGTTCACGGTGACCAGACTATTAACAACAAAAACCAATAACAAAGCTTTTTTTTTCCTGCATTCAAACCCTGTAGCAACATAATACATCACTTTGTATCCAGCTCATTTAATACGAACTGATAGAAGTGAAAATGAATCACTTCTTATTATGTTTTAATGTGCATGGCAGCCATATTTAATTTTGAGGTTGGGCTTGGTGAGAAACTCAAGTCAGAATCTTAACTTTGCGGGGCTTCCTTTTAAATTAAAATTTCCAAATTAAAGCACGGAAATTCCAACTTGTGAGTACAAATAAAACACATCAGCAGCTGTGAACAACCTGAGACTGAAGAAATAAAGACTGGTTTTGACAGGACTGATGAGCTCATGGCTAGTCAGGGCAGGATTAAAACCAAAGAGGATCGAGCTCATTTAAACAACTCAAACCTTCAAAATGTGACAACTTATCTGAATGTTATTTTTAAAAAATGACATCACCATAGTTTTACATTAAATGGATACTTACATTGATGACAGCGTGGGTACACATGGAGGACTTATTGAAAAGAATGTCAGTGTTCTCAAACATATTAACATTTTAGTGCAAATACAGCAGTGAATCACTTTGGTCCTGCTTGAACTAGCAGTTGGCTCATTTAGTCAGTCAACATTAAACTATTTCTCCAAACTGAGGCTGTTCAAAAGGCCATCTATAACAGGTAAAACAGTTATTGTTCGTAATATTTCCAAAGAGCCCCAGTACAGAAGATTTGAACCGTCCCTTTAAGGAAAGAGAGAGGAAACTTGAACAAAATCATCCTAAACAAATATCTACTTATAAATGTTGTCAAAATAACTACAGTGATGTCATCAGGCTTAACCTGGATTACACTTGGTTTAGACGATAAGATTAAATGATCCCCAGGCAGGAAACAAGTATTTAAAAAAACATATTCAGCAGAGAATGAGGCTCGAGGAAAGGTCCACTAGAAAGTGACAGAAAGAACCATTTATTGTTCACATAAATAAAATAAACGTATGCATTGATTTGAATGTCCTTGTAGTTTGAAAACGACAGGAAATGATCAGGATTCTGTTTAAATAAACTCAAATCTGTAAAAATCAGAGCCCTTCCTGCTGCGTCATCGTCCAGCTTTTCATCAGTTACCGTGGATACGGTTACCATGACACCCATCGTCACCAGTAAGTGATGCGAGTTTTCCAGGTGCAGAGGGAGCGCGGGGCCGTGGGCACCGACTCCACATGTGTGTTCAGACTTACAGAGGATTTCACTGTGAACCGGGTCTCACAGGGGGAGGTGAGACCGTAACCCCACCTTTCACAGGCCCCTCCCACCTGAGGGGAAGACAGGCCCAGAGTCAGGGAGGAAGTTTCAGAAAAAAGTTAAAGATTCCCATCAAAACCAAACCAAACGTCCTCTCTGCTTCCTCGGATGTAGATTTAAGAGTTCCAGCAGTTCTGAGCTGTTTGGTTTTATATTTGGATCAAACACACTTGGAGGAGTGGACTCTTCCACTGAAGAACTGATGCTTTCATTTCCATTGCAGATTCTGATCTTTATTTCTGTTACATAAAAACACATGAGCTCACGCTGCTCCGCTGACAAGTTCAGTGAGTACACTGTTTTAACTTCACAGCCTCACATCTGCCCGTCATTAAATCTATCCAATATTATGTTGGACTAAAATGATCTGTAAGTGTTAATTAAAGGCGACAAAGTGATTAAATTAGAAAAAAAGCATTATTAATTTCACTTTTATGATTGTATGAAGCAAACAGAAGCTTCTATGTGCAGACTTTGGCTGTTAAAAGCAACTTTCAACCCCTTTAAAGTCAGTAATAGAAATGTTTGACCTCATTTGTATACAGCTTTGTTTAAAAACAAACATTTGAAATAACGAGGCTTTCTTGGTGCCACGGATCTTTGTGTCACTCCAGAAATTATGCAAAAAAAATTTATGTTAAAATAATAAAAGTGAACTCCCTGATGATTATGTAACTGTTTTAAAATGAATAAAGAGGAGAAAAAAGAAATGTGTGGGAAAATTGAGGTTAAAAAATAGATTGGACGTATTTGAAACTGTAAACTTAAAAAACTATATTAGTATTTTATCACAACTTTATAAACAGACACACAAAAAACAATTTTACACTGTCAATGTGTCATCAAGTAGCAAACAAAGTTATTTAAATAGTAAACGTGTTTTTACACTTTATCTTTAAAGATAAAACAATAACAAATATTTTAATGTAGAATATTTTTAAAACCCTCAAAGCTCAGTTATCTTGTCCTCTGCGACCCAGCCTGTCCTTTCTGGGTGAGCGCGCGCTCGTGGCGGCGGAGGCGCGCCTTGGGGGCTTGGCTCTCTACGCAATCGAAAAGGGGGCGCGCCCGTGTTAAAGCCGCGCGCTGTCCAGCGTTGATGTGTCGCAGATTTAAAAAAGTGAGGCAGGAGGCGTGAGCGGCAGGAAGCTCAGCGGAAAATCACCAGAGGCTCCGGGAACACTTTTTCTTATCTTCACTTAAAGAGACGTCAGTTCCGCAGCGCTTTATTTTTGTTTACCTCTGAGCGCCGCGAGGAGAGACAAGTGCAGAAAATTCCAGTCTCATCCTGTTCGGAACGTGTGAGTCAGCGCGTGCGGCGATGGAGCTCTCATCTATCGGGGACCAAGTGTTTGCGGTGGAGTCGATAACAAAAAAGAGAGTCAGGAAGGTGAGAGGCATCACTTCATTTAACTTAAATAACTTAGCGGTGTTTAAGGCTAACACCGTCTCCGTGTTGTAGCTAACCGTCACTAAAACTGCATTAAAGTTTAGCACACTTTCTCCGACCGAGTCCGCGTCCTGCGAGCTGCTGCGGCATGGCCGTGTTGTTGTGGAGAAGCCTACGCAGTTGTAGTAAAACATTAAAAAGCAGGTGTGTGTGTGTGCGGAGGTGCTGCGCAGTTTATTTTGAGTTACGCCAGCGCGTGCAGCTGTACCTGCTGCGTGATGTTGCTGTGGGCTAATTAAAACGAAGCTACAGGTGCTCTTAATGTAAAGTTAAATTGATGAAAGTGATGATCTGTGCTGCTGCGTTGTTAGTGACCTGTTAAAGCTTCAGCTCGCTTGTTTTCATCCGGGATGAACACGGTTTTGGGACCTGCGCGTTGCGCAACACCTACTTGTTTACGTGCTCCCGAGGCCCCGCCCCATCCAGCCCACCAGTGTAATGTTCTAGAAAGTGCCCTCGTGCGTCGTGGAGAGCGGGGCGCGTGATCGCTGCGTGTGTTTAGAGGCCGCGCAAGCCCCACGCTGTCACTGACGTCACCTCACAGGAAAAACGCACGGTTTGAAAAGGAGAAATAATGGGGAAGAAATTTAAAGAGACAGAGACCTCTTTTGTTTATATTGGCAACATCTTTACATTTAACCAGTGGAGCACACGTGTTCCTGCTGCCTCTGATGTGAGCCTGTTGTCTGTCCCCACAGGGTCATGTGGAGTATCTCCTAAAGTGGCAGGGATGGCCTCCAGAGTGAGTCAGCTTTGAGTCATCCTCCACTGATCTCATCACGTCAATATAGGGAGCATTATGCTTCTTTCCTCTGCATCACAGAAAGATCATTTCTGGATGTGTTTGTGTTGACAGGTACAGTACTTGGGAACCAGAGGACAACATTTTGGACCCTCTCCTGGTCCTGGCGTACGAAGAGAAGTGAGTAATACAGAAACTGTTTGCATAGGCAGCAGTTTCRTTTATGTTTCAGTTATTACTCAGTTTCTCTCTCTGCGTTTGTTGCACTCCTGCAGCCAGGAGAAGATCAGGTCTTTGGCGTATCGCAAGAAAGGTCTCAGGCCCAGGAAGCTCGTCCTGCGGGTAGAAACACTTTATATATTTTTCTTTTTTTTCACTTTTTTACCTTCACTAAAACTGGTTGCTGTTGGTAAAAAGTTAGTTGTCTGTCCATCCACATCTGCCCATATATGTTGTATTTTTGTGCTTGTTTTGTAGTAGTAGTAGTAGTAGTAGTAGTAGTAGTAGTAGTAGTAGTAGTAGTAGTAGTTTTAAAAACCTTTTAAATGTTTTTATTGTTATTGTCATGTTGTTTATCTGCAGTAAAGACTCTTCATCTGTCTCAGTCAGAACCTTGTAAATTCCTAGTCAGTAAACAGTTTGTGAAAAAAAATATACTTGATTCTTGTGAATGTTTACGCTTAATTTGTCTTGATAATCCTAATTACTGTTTTGTTTAACCCTGTCTATGACGATTTTGTTTAGTTTTAAAGTCTTTAAATCATACATCATATTTTCCAGCCTTCTTTAAAGATTTTTTCAAAAAAAGTTTTATTTTGCATACTAAATAATTTAAATACAAAACATCCTGTTTTCCAACCTTTAGGTTTAGACCAGTCAGTGTTACTGGGACTGGCTGAAACTGGACAAGACTTGTTTAAATCCTTTAAGTTAGGCTCCGCCCACAGGATTCAGCTGAGCCGTAAACACTTTTAGACATGAAGCTTATTTTAACTCATCGTAAAATGACTGAAGCTCAGAAAATGTTAAAAAAAYTTAGTTCAGTTCAGGGCGTTTGGATTTCAAGTGTGTTATTATTGTAATTAATATTAATCTGAACTTTGTAGATTATTATTACTCAGTGTTATGCATGTTTAGTAAACTAAAGAAATCTGTACAAAAAATGATAAAACACCCCTTTTAAAAACCACAATTAAACAATTATTACAGATGAAATGAGGAGAGAAAAATCTCATCCATGTCCAAATATGAAGTAAATTATTAATCAACAATCAACTTCGGTGTTGGCCTCAGTTTTGTCAAAGTTTTATCCAGTTTCACTGAACAGTCATAGAGAGGAATGAAAGATGGCAGCAGCAGAAATAATGCAGGTTTCATTACTAATAATAGCCTGAACAGTACTGTGCAGCTGAAAGACATGCTGTGTTTCTGGACTGTGTTACTATCACTGTTATGATGCTGGATAAGTCAAATTTATGCCAGGAGTAGCAGGAAGCATCGAATGAAACAAAGTGGATGAGACAAGTTACACACTGATCTGCAGCTGCAGAATTACTTTTCAGGCTCGGTTTCGGCACGTCTTTATGATGGGAGTGGGAGTATGTTTACTTCTTGAACTCTACCTTTTTTTTATGACGCTGATTCTCAGATTTACTTTCTGACCTGTTCTCCCTCAGAACATCTTCGCCATGGACCTCCGCAGTGCCGACAAGGACGCAGAGAAGCCCCCTCCTCGCCTGCGCCTCTCCCTCACCAGATCCATGAGTACGGACGTGGAGCAGGCCATCCGCCGCCCCAACAGGAAGAGGAACAGGTGGAGGTTGACCAAAGCTGGACTGAAGCGCTCTTCCAACAAACCTATCCATCATCTTCAGCAGCAGCAGGAGCAGGTGCAGCAGGAGCAGGTGCAGCAGCAGCAGGAGGAGGAGAATGAAGTGGACTCTGTAAAGAAGGACTGGGGGACCACCAGCGAGGAGGACAAGCCGGAGTGTGAAAGTGCCGTAGAGGAGAGATGCGAGGACAGTTGTTACGGTCAGTTTGTGAAACTGAGGCGGATTTCAGATTCGAGAGATTTTACTTCATGAAAGAGACCAGGGGTCTGGTTTATAAAGCTTGRGTACGGACAAAATGAGCCCAGAAACCACACAAAGGTTGTGATTTATAAAATCCAAACAACGTGAAAATGTGCGGTCCCTCAGCCAGCTCTGACCCATGCGTACGCTCATGTTGGAGACGGGAAACTGTGACACAGTGAAGCGAGGAATTAGAGCCACACTGTGTAATGATCACTGTCCGATATTTAATTTACCTTCATAATCAGACTTAGATTTTTATTCAACTTTATCATCAGCTTTCTTAACAGTAAAATATTCTGCTGAGAGCCATAAGGACCTTTGAAATAAAAAAAAAACAAAAGTTCACACATCTCCATTAATCTCCTTCCTCAGACGACCCTGACCCACAGACCCCTCCCTGACAAGAGACATTTCAACAGCAAAAGTCACGCTTTGGGTACTTGCTGGGCATGCCCCTCGCCAGTATGGATGTTATAGGGGGCTGCCACAGATAACGGAGCAGGCAGGAGGGGGAGGACGGTAGCCTGGCCCTTGCCTTCCTACGCAGCTCCGCTCAATTCTAGTTTCCCTTCACTGCTCKGTCTGGGACTTCTCTCCCATAGAGAAGGATTTCACTGGCAGATTTTTAGCGGGGTCAATCAGAGAAGAGAACATCAATTTTCTGCGCAGAGTCTCTTGTTGTTTATTTTACCTGGGCCAATCAGCAAACAGAAGGTGGAGTTTTGAACGACGTCAATGTTCTGCACAGTGTCTGCTAGTTATTTTAGCATACGGCAGTGGAGGAAGAGAATGAAGCCAGTCTGTGTTGATAAGGCTTCCAAATTAAAWTAAATTTGTCRGAKYAAGCAGCAGCTCTCATTTACAGCTGTCTCGTTCGGCTCGGTACATTTCTCCTCTCAGTAGGGTTGTTTACAGCACACACGACTTCCGGTTAGCTTCTTAGCTTAGCCTCCATCACAGCAACAACACACACATGCTTCACCAGAGGCCACGCCTCCTGCATGAAACGCTTGTCTGTGCATCAAGTCCAGACCCTTGTACAAAGCAAAGTGAATGACAGGATCTGGTTTTAACCAGGCTAGGAGGACTGAGAAGAGTGGTGAACTTATTTCCAACTTTATCTGACTTATTTAATTTTATTTATTGTTTTTATCGTCCTCCAGGCTCTGAGAGAAAATTAATTTGAAGTTGAGTTTTTGATAAAAGTCATTACATTACTCTAAACATCTGTAAAGCTGCAAAATGAGGGAAAAGCTGTGTAAATTAGACATTCTGTTCACGTGAGCAGCTGTCAGTCAGCACCTGTCATCCTCCAGACGCACAACAGAGCGTGTCTGAGCCAATCACTTTTTTTGACATTGACCAGCTGACTGATTTAGATATATCTTAACATTCATGAGGTACTTTACATTGACTGTTTTAATGGTTGAGTGTGGGTGTGTAGAGGGTAGAACCTGAGGCGGGACCTTGTGCACAAACTCGGAGGTGAAGCTGTGATCTAAAAAGGAAAGGTGTACAGAAACGTGTACGCACGGTTTTATAAATCTGAATTTTTTTGGTGTACGCCATTTTTGCCTTTTGGCCATACGTTTGTTTTTAATATGGTTTCTATGCAATCTTTTATAAATCTGACCCGAGACGTTTCCTGTCTCTCTCTCTCAGGTCATTCTGAGTGCAGCTCGCCCCCCTTCCTGGAGCGACAGGACCTGGACGTGGAGGAGAAGGTGGACCAACAGACCGAAACGTGGACCGACAGAACGGACGGAGGGGCGTCTGAAACCAGTGAGGTCAGACCGGGCGACGGGTCGGAGAAAAAGGCGGGCTGGGCCAGCGACCCCCGCGAGAGGAACAACACAACGTCTGTCATCATGAGGGTCCAGGGGAGCACCGTCTGCCCCAACACCGAGCCACTGAAGGAGGTGACATCGGGCCTCCCGATCGTTCCCGCCGAATCAGATGGTCCCAGGAAAGTGATTGTGACGAACGTGACCGTGAACTCCCTGACGGTGACGTTTACAGAAGCCAAAGAGGCCGAGGGCTTCTTTGGGAGCTGCTGAGCGAGGAGAGAGATCTAAGTAACCATGATTAGACTCACCACTCATTTTAAACAAGTAAATAGTCGTGTGTGTCAGATATGTTCACTTGTTTACAAAAGCTACAATCACTTCCTACTGAGTAGAGTAAAGACGGTCCAGGCTTGAGTCGAAGTGAGTGGTGATTTTATTATTGTGGCTCATTTACTAAATGATGCATCTCCAGAGTGCTCTGATTCCCCGTTAGAGTCGAGCAGATGAGCTGGATCAGTGGGCAGGTTGTAACTYTTAGCACCTCTGGGTTCAATGAGAGCAGGAAGACAGATGTCCAGACGGCAGCCTAAAACAATCCAGTTCACATAACTACTTCGATGCAGCTACTATTCCACTCGTCCTCAGTGCTTTCCAGCATCTGGCAGATCTCTGATCTGTTCTCGGGGGGCCTGTTTCAGCCGCTCCATTTTCTTACCGTTGATGTTTTGTAAAAAAATAAAACATAAAAAAAATGTGGCTCTTGCTAACCGCATGCCCCGTCAGACTGTGCCACACAAAGACTCGTCCTGTGCTTTGTGGGAGCTGTTTATTTCTGTAACAAAGGAAATAGAACAAAGACGGCGGATTAACGCCGCACGCTCAGATGAAGTTCTGCATTTCAAAGTGGATGGATACAGGGAAAAAAAAAAGGCACAGCGTTTTGTTTGCTGTCTGTCTGCCCCTTTTAACTTTTCAAGTATGAAATGCTTCCTGGTTCTATTTTTGTATCACCGATTGATGGTCTACTTTTTTCAGTAGCTTCTGTGCATATCAAAAGAGACAATATTAGTTTGCACCGCTGCTTTTATGCCGTGTCGGTAATGTGCAGATGTACTTTAAATCAAACTGTAGTGAGCTATTATTTATTGCATGTCACTTGTATAAACGAAACTAACTTATGTCACTTCATGTGTCCGGATCGGTCTCTCTCCAACAAAGATGGATTGTCAGACATGTCTTCTATCATGAAAAGAAGAAAAATATTTGACTGCATTTTCAATAAATGTGTTCTGAAACTAATGTGTTCTGTTGAATGTTTTATCTCCACGTTTCTAGTTACTGAAAGCCCAAACTGAACATTTAAGGCACATCTCAAACACACTGCTTCTTTCTTTGAGATCATGGGAAAATCAAAACAAATATCAACCCCCGCAAGTCATTCAAAAACCAAAAAATTTGGACTCGTCCCGTGTGATGAAACTGTGGGATTCTTGCAAGTCTGAAAACACCGRCCCAACTGTGAAGCACGGTGTTGGCAGCGTCATGATGTGGTGGTGTTAAGTTGCAGGAGGCACTGGTGCGTTTTACGAAATGACATGAAAGAAAAACATGGAAATATGGTAAATGACCTGAACCTATATAGACTTTATCAAGTCTAAGGACTCCAGAGCACTTCACACTACAGTCGCACACATTCACACACTGCTGGCAGAGTGACAGGCTGCCAAACACCTACGTCAACGAGTCCTTTCCCCACCTCCAGCAGGCCAGTCGGGTGAAGTGTCTTACCCAAGGACTCAACAGTTGAGACAGACAGAGCAGGGGTTCTAATCAGCAACCCACCGGTTACAGGACGACTCCCCAAWCCACTTAGCCACAAAGCAACATCTCAAGACATCAATCAGGAAGTTAAAGCTGGGAAACAAATGGGTCTTCCTAATGGACAATGAGCAAACATTATTTAATTACAAAGAGAAATTTAGTGTTTTGGAAAGGCAGCCTCCAAATCTGACTCTGTTCCTCCAGTTCTGTCAGGACAGGAGAGGCGCAATTCAGCAAGCTATTATAAGAAGCTTAATGCCAAAACATTTGACCCAAGTTATACAGTTAAAAAAGATACAAAATACTAAGAAAATGTGGGACTTTGAAGGCCTCTTATTATACAGACATTTAGCAAATTTAAATAATGACCCTAAACAAGAACAAGGTCAAAGAAATTGAGTTATGGCACTGCATTTTTTCTACCTTTATAAAGTGAGAGTATTATTGTCTGAATGGCATCCCTGTAATTTATGCTGTTCAGGTGCAAAATCCATAATTGAACATTACCTTGTAACGCCACTAGAGGGCGCATTGCTCCCGTGAAAAATTCTAAATTAAAAAGTGATGCCAACAAATTCAAGTTCCAGATGTAAATTTTAAACTCAGATAAGACAGAGGTTGTGGGTTTGAACCTGAACATCTTAGGAATAAACTTTGCAACCTTTCACTTACATTAATCTGGCCTCCAGTTCTAATGTAAAAGAATCTTGGTGTTATTTTTGATCAGGATGTTTTTTAACCCCCAAATTGAAAATATTTCCGCTTTCACCTGTGTAATATCACTAAAATTAGAAACATCCCAAAATGACGAAATAAAAACAGATCCATGCATTTATCTCATCTAGGCTGGATTACTGTAATTCTTTATTATCTGGGCATCCAAAAAACTCTTTGAGAAGTCTTCAGTTAATCCAAAATGCTGCTGCTAGTTTTAATGAGAGTTGGAAGGAGATATATTTCTTCAGTTTTAGCTTCTCTCCACTGGCTCCCTGTCAAATTTAGAATATAATTTATAATATTACTCCTAACATACAAAGATCTCAACAACCAAGCTCCATCATATATTAAACATCTTATTGTTCCATACTTCCCTTCACTCTCAGACTGCAGGTTTACTTGTGGTTCCTAAAGTTTCTAAAAGTAGAATGGGATGCAGAGCTTTCAGTTATCAAGCTCCTCTCTTGTCAAATCAACAAGGTAACAACTAACATAATGATTGGTAGAAGTGAGAAAAAAAATTAAAATTAAAATCTTAAGCCTACATCCAAAACAAGTTTATGAATCAGAAGGAGCTCTGTGATAATTGGTTGATAAATTTGCTGTAGTTAAGTTTATATATACCATTTCTTACAAGATGAAAAATGTCTGTTTAAACGGTGAAGCATTAAGATTTGTTTCGAATGAAAAACGTTCCACACTTGATTAAGCATGTGCAGGACGCGACACTATTGGTCATTTGCATTTTATTACAAAAAGAAAAACTGTAACCGAGTCCAGTTTGTTTCCTTTGTCCAGTAAAAAATATTAAATTAATTCCCAAAGTTCTGAGCAGAAAGATGACAGAGTTCATGTTCAATTCATCGCCGTTCCCCCCGAACAGAGGAGGATACAAAGTCCAAAAAGGAAGCAGCAAAAGTGATGAGGAAGAAAGAGACCAACGCTTAGGTCTCTCACCTCTTTTCTGTGCAACACAGTTCATTTGGATCATTGTCCTGTTTATTATAAACAGCAAAAGTGTATTGGATGAAAAYAAAAAAAAAACTAAAAAGGAGCCCACAAACGTAAAATGTTACAGGCACAAAGGTATGCACCTCCCTCCCAGAGCCTCCACAGCAAGTGTCTCTACACAGGAAGGAGTGCACGAACATTCGAAAGGGAGGGCTTGAATGTTTGTGAGCAGAACGGAGGTCCAACACAGGATCTGTCCACGGAGCATCTTCAACATGGAGCAGACCCTTGGACCACCGCAAAAAAACAAGAAAAAAAAAAAAAAACAAGAAAAAAAAACACATGAAGAGTAACTGGCAAACTGAACAGTCAATAAAAAAAATAGACTTCTATACAAAACGTAACAACACCCCCCCTCAAGGAACAGAATAAATAAAACACAAAAATGGAAAAACTGTTTGGATTGATGCTGATAATTCACATCACTCTGCAAAATGAACAGAAACAGATCGACTGAATGATGCAAATAAAAATATCTCAAAAGTTCTTTGCATTCACTTATTTCTTCGACTACTTTTAATTAAAAAAACTTTTTAAAAGAAAAGGCAAGGTACTTGTATGCCCCCTCTAAATAATTACTTTTCTGCAAGAAATAGAAACAAGTTGATAGNAAAAATATATAATATATTAACAGCAATAAGTTACAATTCATTTATTCTTATTCATTTAACGACTGTCTGATTTATTGTTCGTCTCCCATAGGAAGTTCAGTTCAATGCAACTTTATTGAAAAAACATTAAATAACATTTTAACAATGCTAAAAATAAACAAAATGCTAAGAAATAACAATAACACTGTCCTGGGTGAGTGCAGTTTGTGCAGAAATTCACTGAGCTCAGCATGACACCAATATAAAGTCCTACATGTGGTCTAAAGAGTTGTGGTTGATGTTCTGGCCCAGGGGGTCCTGACTGTTGCCCCCCGGCCCATGGAGTCCGGCCATGCCACTCAGCTGAGACAGCATGGCGTTCTGATCCGACCCAAACGGCTCCATGGTGTTCTGCTGCTGGCTCGCTGCCTGCTGCTGCTGAGGGGGGARGATCATGCCTGGGTGGTGCTGGTTCAGGTGGGCGGGATGTGGCGAGCCCGTCTGCATCTGCGGTGAAATGTGATGCGGCGAGGGCTGAGGCTGCATGCGCGGCGACGGGCTGGAGTGTGGCGGCTGGGACTGAGGTCGAGGTGATGGCTGGGGGGAGCGCACGAGGGATGTGGAGAGCACCTGCCCCTGCAGGTGTGGGTGGGGGGACTGCGCCACCTGCTGCGGCTGCTGGGGGCTCATGGGATTGCTGTGTTGGGCCGGGGACCCACCCGGACCCATGTGCTGCTGCTGGAGCAACCTTTGTGGCAGAGTTTGTTGGAAAATGGCCTGACTGGATGGAGGTGTGGGTCCACTCTGGGTGGGCTGGGGGCCCTGAGGTGGTTGTTGAGGACCACCTGCACTCCCTCCTCCTGGTCCTGCATCCCCGCCTGGATGGGCAGCCATGGTGCTCTGCTGCATCTGCAGCCTCTGCTGGAGTGCAGCTGTGGCCTGCTGGTGGGCAACTGACCCTGCGAAACCTGGCCCCTGCTGACCCGGGGGGCCCCCAGGCGGCTGCGAGCCATGGGGTGGACCTCCAGGGGGACCCTGTCCCATAGCAGGAGACTGGCTCATGAATCCCTGCCCCTGTGGGGGCTGCGGCTGCTGAAACTGACTGTGATTTGCTCCCATTTGCTGCGGCTGCTGCAGCTGTCGCCTCATGAGCAACTCTCTGAACTGGGGGCTGTTGAGGTTTCCCATCTGTGGCCCCTGGCCTTGCATTCCTCGCCCGACTCCCTGCTGCTGCTGTAAACTACTGAGCAGTGGTCTCTGCTGCTGCTGCTGCAGCTGTTGCTGCCGCTGCAGCTGCTGTTGTAGCTGCTGAAGTTGTTGTTGTTGCTGTAGTTGCTGCTGCTGTTGTTGCTGCTGCTGCTGTTGTTGTTGATGTAGTTGCTGCTGCTGTTGTTGTTGATGTAGTTGCTGCTGCTGTTGTTGTTGTTGCTGTAGTTGCTGCTGTTGTAGTTGCTGCTGTTGTAGTTGCTGCTGCTGCTGTTGTTGTAGTTGCTGCTGCTGTTGTTGTTGTAGTTGCTGCTGCTGTTGTTGTTGTAGTTGCTGCTGCTGTTGTTGTAGTTGCTGCTGCTGTTGTTGTTGTTGTAGTTGCTGCTGTTGTTGTTGTAATTGCTGCTGCTGTTGTTGTTGTTGTAATTGCTGCTGTTGCTGTTGTTGTTGTAGTTGCTGCTGTTGTTGTTGTTGTTGTAGTTGCTGCTGCTGCTGTTGTTGTTGTAGTTGCTGCTGTTGTTGTTGTTGTTGTAGTTGCTGCTGTTGCTGTTGTTGTTGTAGTTGCTGCTGCTGTTGTTGTTGTTGTAGTTGCTGCTGCTGTTGTTGTTGTTGTAGTTGCTGCTGTTGTTGTTGTTGTAGTTGCTGCTGCTGCAGCTGAGACATAGAGGCCATGTTGACTCCCCCCTGAGCTCCCACATGGATCCCTGGCTGGCCCAAGCTGGCAGCGTTCATATTCACCTGTGGGGTCCCTCCTGCAATGACATTTCCAACAGGACCTCCTGTGGGACCAGTTCCTCCTCCTGTAACGCCCTCCGGCCCAGTGGGACCCCCTTGGCCTGCCTTATATTTTGAGGCCCTCTGTTTGATAAAGGCAGCCATGAGCTGGGGGCTGGATCTTAAGATGGCCAGGACCTGATGTTGCTGATGTGGAGAACTGGGGGAACGGAGAGTCCGTAAAAGCTCCTGAAGAGCTGACTGAGGGATGTTCCCACCAGCAGCAACAACCCCGGGGACACTTGGAGCACCAGGGACAGGTCCCCCTGAGACCCCTGCAGCACCACCTTGATGCTGCTGCTGCACCATATTCATCAGAGCAGCGTGACCCTGAGCTGGTTGCTGCTGCTGGGCTGGATGACCCATTTGGTTCATGACAGCTTGCCTCTGTTGGGGGGGCACGCCCTGGCCTGCCCACTGCTGCTGCTGCTGCTGGGGGTTCTGAAGAGGAGACATCATCCTCTGCTGCTGAAGCTGCACCTGGGGGCGGAGATGGCCTCGAGGCAGGTTACCTTGCTGAGGGGGATGCTGCATGTGACCACCACTGACCATCATCCCTGACAGAGCACCTTGCTGTTGCTCCATGTGGGCTCGAGCGGCTGCTTGGCTCTGAGGTGGGATGCCCTGGGGTCCGACCATCCCTACAGGTCCTGGATGTCCCATAGTCACCTGCTGCCCCTGGCCCAACTGTTGGTGGGGGTGGGATGGCATCAAGCCTGCAGTGGGTGCTGGTCCCTGCAGAGCGTGCTTCCTCTGAGCGTCAGCCACCTGCTGAATCTTTAGGGCGATCTCTACAGCTGCAGGTGGGGGGCCTGAGGGGGGCTGCTGTGGAATGGAAGGCTGGCCCGGCGGCTGACCGGGAGCTTGTTGGCCTGCCACGCCTCCCGCCATGACGGCACCACCGGGATGCTGCGCAGGTGTCGCAGGGCRGAGAACTGGTTTACCCTGGGACTGGTGGATTGGGGAGGAGCCTGGGGGTCTGCTAGCATAAGGTGGCAAACTGTTGGGGTGCTGCTGAAGCTGTTGAGGGTTGGTTCCTGGTCCACCCTGCTGCTGCTGCTGGACCTGAGCAAGCATCTGCTGCTGGTGTTGGGGAGAGTTCATCATCCCTCCTCCACCACCAGCCCCACCCATCTGCTGGAACTGATGAAGGGGGTGTTGAGGGGGCATCCCTCCAGGCTGCTGTTGCTGCTGGACTCCATTTCCAGGACCCATCCCCTGCGGGGTGACAGGAGCCATGGTCTGAGTCGGGGTCTGAGGCATCGGGGCTTGGGTGCCACCTGACGTTGGGGTATTGGGAGCGGTGGTCCCATTTGACCCAGGTGAAGGAAGTCCCATCGTCGGCCCTCCAGCCGGCTGCCCTCCTCTCTGCATGGTGGCCATCCTCCTCCTCAACATCTGGGCCTGCTGGAGCCTGTGCTGCAGCTGCTGTTGGCGGAGCTTCTGCTTGATGTTCAAACAGAACGGGACGGGACATTTGTTCTCCTGGCAGTGTTTGGCGTGGTAGCAGCACAGAGCGATGAGCTGCTTGCAGATGGGGCAGCCACCGTTCGTCTTGCGCTTGCAGCCCTTCGTGTGCTGCACCACCCGCTTCATCTTCTGGCAGGACGGCAGGGAGCAGTTGGCGTTGCGGCACTGGCACGCGTGGACCAGAGACTGGATGCAGCGCTGGATGCTGAGACGGCGAGAGTCACCGGGACTCTGAGTTGCTGCTGCAGCCTGGTTGTTGCTGTCATCGTCCAGCCCCAGTCCCAGTTTGTCCATCTTGTGCTCGTGGCCTTTAGTGTTGTAGCAGGTGATGCATAAATCATAATCCTGGGGGGTGGGGAGAGATAGGAAAAGATATTGTAACTAAATGTTGTTAATCTCCAAACCTTAAAAGGGATCCACGATTAGTTGTAACGTTAGACTTTTTTTTAGCTGTAGGCTGTTCAGTTTTTATAATTTTTAAACTAAAAGTTTAAAAATATATTACATGGACGGGGCCATTTTATTTACACACAAAGCATTCTGGGTAAATGATGACGAGGATAGGTCCTCTGTGTGAGGC